ACATCCATTAGACAAAATACACGGTCCTGGTTTCCAAGATGGGGATTTCAAATGGTGCAAATAATCATGAGTTATTAATTCACTTGAAATTACACCTATCCATTTATGAATCCAAACAGATGATAGACTAAGATGGGGTTTCTTTCTCTTTTTTCTTGCATAAATTATCTTATTTTCTGCAACATAATCTGTGGAAACCAGAAACAAAACAAGCCAAAATGGATTTTTCCTCATTAGTTTCTGTTGCAACGCTTTACTGACAGTGAATTTAAAAAGGGATGTTGCCCATTTTTGCCTCCTTAGACTTTGCTAGAGTAGTTTTGCATTAGTCACAATCCACAATAATCCACTGTTCATCCACTCTCTGAAACAAGCTATTTTAGCTTTCTTCTGATTGGCTGCCCCTCACAAACTTGAGGTTTAAACAGCAGATGGATGTGGCTTTTTTGCTTGGAGCCAGAGCCTTGTACTTGAGATGACCATATAAGGAATATCCACTCTCTGTGACATCATAACGAGGCAAAAGTAGACAAAAGTGTTTTAAACTAGACATAAAGCACAAAGTTTTTAATATTTAATACATGCATGCACTATTGTAACACCCTGCATGTATGACAGAAAATAAGGAAGAGCATAGTAATAGGTACAGGTCCACTTTAAAAGCAAGTTAAGTTTGTATTTACCGTAACCTCAGATATCAGAGAATGCGTTACTGTAATCCGATTACTTTTTTCAGGTAACGAGTAAAGTAAGGGATTACTATTGCAAAAACAGTAATTAGATTACCGTTACTTTCCCGTAGGAACGCTGCATTACTGCGTTACTAAAACCGTGATTTTTTTGCGAGTACGTCTCATGACGGTGACGTAAGCGAGTGCAACGTTTGTGACAACAGCTGTGTGCAGATCAACAATGGATCACATATCGATTGTGGGAGAGAGTATGAGCGTGCAGCGTTTAAAGCGTGGAAGTACTGACTTTACTTTGAGTTTGATTCCATAAAAAGTGACAAAAACATTAGTGTCCGTTGTGCGTGGGAAGAAAACTTCTTTTTACAGTGAAACCCCCCCCCTAAACTTCCAAGCAAGCACCGAGTGCGCAACGACATAATGGGAAACTCAGAAACTCGCAGATTCTTCAACTGACCGCTGTGGCACACCTGCACCAGGGTAAACCTCCGCCTACCCTACTCCTGCTTTACAGGTGAAAATAGAGCAACAGGACCGCTGAGTCTTTGATTTTATTTATTTTCTGCTGTGTTTTACTTGCATCTATTTGAAAGACTGAGTGTAAACACACACAAAAAAAAATTTATGTGCTGGAATGTGCAGAAAATAAGTTTAAATGTTAAACAAATTTCTTCAAGTCAGAGAATGTTGCATATAATTAAAATTTTGCTTGATGCATAAAGTTAAAAGGTTAAAACTAATAAAACAAGTTTTAAAAAGAGACTTTTCCATTTGATTACATTTTGTATGATAGATTATGCAGAAAAAGTAGAATTGGGCTGAAAGATCTATCGCTTTATCACCTATTCAGGTTGTAAATCATGTTTTTAAAAAGTAATCAGTAACTAAGTAATTAATTACTTTTGAAAATAAGTAATCAGTAAAGTAACAGGATTACTTTTTTGGGGAAGTAATCGGTAATTAGTTAGTGATTACTTTTTTCAAGTAACTTGACCAACACTGGATATGAGCATCACTGTTTCCTTTGTTTTTTCCACAAAAAAACCAAAACTATGTTACTTGTAACCGAGCCCTCCTGTGTCTTTGTTTCCCCAGATAAAATCAGATTCAGACCTCTTTTGCATCACATGCTCTGCCGCAGCAGGAAACTCACAAGTGGCACTACAACATAAATAATGCTACGTTCCAGTAATTAGTCTAAGGCAACATAACCTCACGTCTAATGACAAAGCGCCATTCAACATTTCTCTTCTTGTCATGTGCAACCACCGCATGAGAGCCATTTACAGAAACGGTAGATGTTTCTTACAGGCTGCAGCATCAAATGATACGCATTAATGCTTTTCTATGCTGTTTCCTCAAACCTCAGAATTATCTCACGGTATGGGAATACAAATGAAAGAATGACCAGATTGTGTCTTATTTGGCAGAAATATGCCATTTTTCTGTCATTTCTCATAATCTGATAAGCCTAGATGTCTGTTATTCTTAAGTAAATTAAATCCCAGTTAACAAAACTGATTACAGAAATTATTTTATTACCTGCTGATTTCCTTTTGGCTCTAGCCAGAACTTGACTGCAGGGGCGGGGTATCTGTTGCCTCAAATCAATGTAAAACTTTTAGAGCAGTTTGTCTTTTTTAAAACAACAAAGATATACATTTTCTTGAACAGACTTGCTTAACAAGCTAAATTAAACAAAACTGTTCATTTGAACATTGGCACAGGCCAAATTTCAAAAGTGGGACATGGCCATTTGCCGCCATGTTGTGTAATAACTTCAGAAATCATTCAGTAATTTCTTGCTGTGGTGTCTAAAGAGAATACCCAAGAAACTGCTGATCGGCTGAGATTTTCCCCACACACCCATCTTTAGAGTTTACAGAGACTTGTCAGAAGAGGAACTATCCAGTAAGTGGAAGTTCTGAGCAAAAATGCTTAGTAGAGCTTCTGAAATCAACAAACTCAAACACTCGTTACAACCAAGGGATGCAGAAGAGCATATCTGAATGCACAACATGCCAAACCTTGGCAGCACCCACTCAATGCCTCTCCTGTCAGCTAAGAACAGGAAACTGAGGCTACAGTTCACAGTTCACACAGACTCACTAAGGCTGGATAACTCTTATCATACTGTACTTTGTTATTCTCTCTGCAGAGGATGTGCAGATTTAAGTGCAACTATTGCAGTGTGTACTTGTACTTTAGATGGAGGAACTGTACAGAGAGATAGCCAGAGGCAGGAATAATTTCCGGTGTCGTTCAATGCTGCATTTTGGTAATCTCAGGCTCTCACTGGACGTGCTCCTATGACTGGCCAGGAGGTATCGTCTAGCATTTGCCCATCTCTTGGCTAACATCTGCCTCTCTGACACCACTTTTAGAGACTCCAGCTTCATCCCCACACATTACTGGCCTTCGGGATCAGTTTATTGAGTCTGTTGGCCTCTGTGACCTTCAACCTGTGGCCCTAGGATGCAGGGGCATGGAGGATGGCACTGGCCACAACAGACTCTTACTGTAGAAAAGCAAAGTTTAACTGATCTTGCATATTGCCTTGATCTCATTCAGATTGTGGAATCTGAATTTATTTCAAGCATCCATCCTGGCAAGTATCAAGGTTTCAGGCTTCTAGGGCAATGGTGTGGGGGGGATACTTTTATTGGCCACCTTTGCGTCACTTAGCACTAACTGAGCCTGTTTAGACACCACAGCCTTCTTGAGTATTGTTGCCAACCACAGATTGTTCATCTTCTGATGTCTGCTTCCAGCATGACAACACACAAGGTCACAAAGCTCAAATCACCCCAACTGGTTTCCTGAACATGACAATAAGTTCACTGTACTGAAATGGGCTCCACGGTGACCAAATCTCAGTCAAACAGAGCACCTTCGGAATGTGGTGGAACAGGATATTCATATTGTCATGTCTGCAGCAATTGTGTAATGCTACCAAGTCAACATGGACCAAAATCTCTGAGGAAAGTTTCCAGCACCTCGTCGAATCTATGCCATGAAGCATTAAGGTGATTCTGAAGGGGCACACCCAGTATTAGCAAGGTGTACCTAATAAAATGTCTACAGAGTGTGTATTGAGAATATGTCTTATCCTATGTGCGTTTACGGTCATGTTCCCAAAGCTCCACGCCACGTGGGGGCAAAAATAAAAAAAAAATAAAATAAAATTTAATATTAAACTTTTTTTCCCTCCTAAACATTAAGTCTTGATGTTTCTTTTGAACCTTTATCTATAAATTTATATGCATATGTAACAGAATGATAAAACCGATTGACCGTGCTTTCGTCATCAGGAATCTCAGCTTTGGAGTGACCTTCCTGAGAAGATAAAGCAAAATCTACAACTTGCTCCAAACCACTTCTAAAAACAATGTTTGGTTTTTTTTAAACCTGCTGTTATCTCCTCTCCTCTCCATCTTTTTTTTTTAAATATATCTCCCTCTTACTGTCCTTACAGTATTATCTTTTTTTTTTAACTGACTATGTGTTTTTCTTTTTACTCTAACTGACAATTTGTCTTTATTACAGAATGTTCTCCTCCACCCTAACTAAAAACCATTATTCTAAGAGGCAGAACAGAGACACTTAGTGTTCAGTGTTACAAAAGAATGAATAAGCTGGCAGATGGGCAGACAGAGAGACCCCTGGAGATCAGAGGAGAGCAAAACAACATGTGTGCATATATTAAACATCATTTTTTTTAAAAAGGAATAAAAAGCTCTGGCTTCTTCAGTGGTATTTTAAATTCACACAGCAGTCATTTTACAGCTGTAATCATGTTTTTTAAAAAAAAGAAAGAACCGTTGTAGTCTGTAACTTTATAACTTTTGGGTGTATGATTAACACAACAAATAACCAAAATAGGATGAAACGGCTTGTTACAGCTCCTAACCAGTGCTGGCATGCCTCGTTTAATAACTGATTAATGTATTAACAGGAAGATAACCAGACTGACGACATCTGGATTAACTATTCCCCTTATGACCTGAGAGACAATAATGCTCCTGTTGATCCAGTGAGTGAGTGAATGAATGAATGAATGAATGAATGAATGAATAAGACCGACCACACGTCCACTCCCTTCACTGCTGTGTTTAAAGCCGTCTGTCCTTCCTGATGACACAACGTGAAACAACATCCTAGCTCTTAAAACAAAATCACCAGCGTGGCTTTGGTCAGGAGGTGAAAAGCACTAGTCTATGGGATGAGGAACTCCCACGACATCAACAAAAACTCTCAGTCCGACCACATTTCTACCACTTTCCCCCCTTCCTCTTTGTTTTTTCACATTACCTGGTTAACAAGCTGGGAAACAAAGCTAAGTCATCCACCGGCGGAGGTAACGGACACTTGACTGCATGTGTGGCAGTTGACTGGCTGTCAGCTCCGCTTCTTCACTACACAGCAGAACAAGACGTCGGTCGAAACCCGTTAACTGACTTCAAAATTACGCCGCTCTGAGCGAAAAAAAGATGCTTTTTCATAAAGCTAAAGTCGTGTGAAGCGCTCACTCACACACAGATTACAGCTTAATTACTTACCGGTGCCTGGTACTCGACCCCAAACTCTACGTGTGCTCAAGCCGGTGTCAACACTCCAGAAATAAAAGCATTTCAACTTCCGGCTAGACTTTCAACTTAAAACAATTTCGCACCAAATTCGTGCATTTGCCACGGTCACGTTAGATGCATGACATCTTGAAGCTTAAAGCAAGAAAAATAATCAAAAACGTGACACTGCAGTGAGACAAAGGACTTGATTGTTTCTATACTGCATCGTGCACCTTTATTTTGAAGTTACACCAATCTAATTCCGGTTTAATCTAGGTAACTTTTGGCAGCTGTCGCCGTTTTCTTCAAACAGAAGTTGCTGCGCCTGCGTGAACTATAAATCACATTTCAGAAGGCCTGTGACGGCGTCGTTCCGTTATGATGCTTATGACGTTAATATAAATAAATGTACGTGGGAAAATAAACATTAAAAACAATAAAAGGTTTTCTGTTTCTTATATTTCTATTTCACATTTTACGCAGATCAAAGCGCAATATGACATTAAGTTAAAATAATAACGACAATTTACTTATCTTGACTTAGGAAATTTCCAGAAAACCCTTAGTTTGACCCCCAGAAAGGACGGGCAACCTTTATTAGGATCACTAAAAATCATTTAAGGCTCATAATTTCATAATTTTATTCTGTAACAATGTGAATTTATAGTCATTTTGCCCTTAGTGTTAGTTTTCAATGACTTCACGTTTATTAGATAATTCCCTTTTCTGTTCCCATTCTGTTCCTTTAGTCTCCGTACCTGTCTTTTTGTCCTTTCTTGTCTCCCCGTTAAGTTGACTCTCTTCCTGTTTTATAATAGTAAGTGTTGTTCTCTTCTGTGTCTTCTGTGTCTGTGTGGAGTTTCTCTTCCTGTCTCATTATGTTAGCTGTCTGCAGCAGCTGTGTTCCCACCTGTTACCTTTCCCCTCGTTATCTTCTGTGTGTGTGTGTGTGTGTGTGTGTGTGTGTATTGAGTACTGATTCGCCCCTTATCCTTTGCTGTGTTGTCCCACATTGCTGTGTGCTACCTCGCTGCAAGCTTTGAGTTTGAATATTTGAATTCCTGGCTCAATTTCAATAGATCTTTCAGTAGATCTTTCCTGGACGTTGTTTATTTCTTGGAGTTACAGCATTAAAAGCTGATTTTGACCCTTTTTCCTGAGTCCTGCATTTGGGTTCAGCTTTGACTGGTTACACAGCTGAGTTATGACACTTTAGTAATGCTGTTGTTGAGGCTCTGGGGAGAGCAGTCCATGACTGGTAGCTTTCTGCTGTGTGTGTGTGTGTGTTTTTTTTAATATATGGGTGTACTTGTATTGCATGGCCACCATGTTTGGCCTCATTCTCATGCTGAAAAATTAAGCTGCTGCCAGTTAAACTATTTCCAAATGGTATTGGCATTTTCTGCATTCATAATTCCATCAGTTTTGACAAAATTCTCAAAACCTCCATCGTGTTTTACAGATGCTGTTCATCTGCTGCAGATAGTTTTCATTATATATCTCCTCACAAAAGCATGGTAAGTTTTCAGCTTATATTTCTTCAGACATCAGTTTCTTTGTGCAAATATATGATTTTATGTCTGTCAAGCTGAGTTACCTTCAACAAATCTCTCATATCACATGTCGTTTATAAAGAAATATATCTGAACAACACTGCAGTGGGTTCATATTTCGCATTACTCATTGCTGGCAGCAGAAGTGGACTGCCTTGTCTTTCCTTTGTATACCAGCAGAACCTCAGGGGCTACCTCAGCCCACCTTGCTGTTCCCTGCCATCACCTGACTGCACACCTGAGCCACTTGTATGCCCTTGCATACTAATTATTAGTCACATTGTTTGATGACAGTGTAATTTCTGCAATTTTATTGAAATATACACATATATGTGTACATGCAGGTCTACTTTAAATATATGTCTAGCTTTACCCAATATCTAAGAATTGTATAATAATCTAAATGTCTCCATATGCATGTGAATAAAGTAGTAAGTAAGAAAGAATATATTATGAAGGCTGTATAAGCTGTATGAACTTTATCTAAAGGTCTTCCTTCTTCTTTCACACATATTAACCCTACCTGTCGCATTACGGTCTGCTGCAACTTTATGAATATCTTATCTCGCTTAATCACATTGTTATCTGTTCCTGTGTCACTCACTGTTGCTGTATTACTTGTCCACAGCAGTCCTGCAAAAGCATTAAAGAAAGAGTCTTTATATTAATTTCAAGTGTAGAGTAATATGAGTAATTAAATCCTACCTTTTCTTTTCTTTTTTACAGTGCTTTTTAATCAGAAGAACTCACAATGATACAAGCGCATGGTGTTATTTTATTTTATTGTTTGTATCTTCTCAGTTGATCAGATAATTGGATAATCAGACCATCGGGCTTATTTATGATTAATAAATTGTTTATGCCAATCAAATTTTGTATTTGTCTACTAATAATGCATGACATCTGAAAATCAGTGTATAAAGTCTATGGCCACATCACATAGAGTAAGTGTGACCCCTGCTGACAGCTTACTGCTAATGAACTCTGAAGTTACACCTGTTGTGTTTAAGCATTATAATATATGTAGTGAATGAATACCCACTTCATTGAGACAAAAAGAGATTAAACATAGTTTAATTGTTCCAGAATGTGGAAATTATTGTCTCACAGCAAGCAAAATAAAGTGGAATGGACAAAATAATTAAATAAGGGGGGTTTTTTCAAACAAAAAATCCAAAATGTAGTTTTTATTACACAGTTAAGTTCAATAAAGACATGAAAACAAGTGAAATAAAATAAAAGAGCTCAATGAATTAAAATCTGGCACTGACAAAAAGACAGGAGGTTGAGCTAGGGGAGCAGATGATGTTAAGATTCTCACTGGGAGAGACCAGAACGGACAAGATTAGTAATGACTATATCAGAGGGACAGCTCACATTTGGAGATAAAGTTGGAGATGCAAGGTTGAGATGGTTTGGATGTGTGCAGAGCAGGGACAGTGGCTATATTAGACGGAATATGTTAGATGTTGGAGCTGTCAGGCAAGAGATAAACAGGAAGACCTCAGAAAACGTTCATGGATGTAATGAAGAAGGACCTGTAGAGGTTTGATGTGACAGAGAAGGATGTTAGGATGAGACATCTCCATACCTCCACAGATATCTCACCTGGACCAGATGCCTTTCCACGCTTCATCCTATTCATAGCTGCCCCACTTCCTCTCCCTGATTCACTGTTACTATCTCACAGCACACAAAACATGAAACACATACATACAGAACATAACAAATACAAAATAGTTCAATAAGGTCAAGATTGCACAAAAATGGAGACAGTTAAGTAGGAAAAATAAATAAAGTAAAATAAATAAAAGAGCCCAGTGAATACAAACTAAATATTACATGATAAACTTTATTATATTTACATTATAAACATTATAAACTAAATATTATATTATAAACTTTATTGTTGTTTTGCAAATCTTCACTCATTTTGAATTTGATGCCTGCAACAGGTTCCAAAAAAGCTGGGACAGGTGCAGCAAAAGACTGGGAAAGTTGAGGAATGATGTAAAGGATATTACCATGTGGGCTCAGGTATACTTCAGAAAAACTATTGTTAGTTAACACAGTTTGTCCCTACATCTACAAGTGCAAGTTAAAACTCTACCATGCAAAACGAAAGCCATATATCAACTCCAGATACAGCCCAGAAATGCCACCGGCTTCTCTGGGCCTGAGCTCATCTCAGATGGACTGACGCCAAGTGGAAAAGTGTGCTGTGGTCTGACGAGTCCACTTTTTCAAATTGCTTTTGGAAATCATGAACTTTGTGTCCTCTAGGCCAAAAAGGAAAAGGATCATGTGGATTGTTGTCAGCACAAAGTTCAAAAGCCAGAATCTGTGATGGTATGGGGGTGTGTTAGTGCCCACGACATTGGTAACTTGCACATCTGTGAAGGCACCATTAATGCTGAGAAGTACATAGAGGTTTTGGAGCAACATATGCTGCCATCCAAGTGACATCTTTTTCAGGGACGTCCCTGCTTAAGCCACATTCTGCATGTGTCACAACAGCGTGACTTTGTAGTAAAAGAGTGCGGGTACTAGAATGACCTACCTGTAGTCCAGACCTTTCTCCCATTGAAAATGTGTGGTGCATTGTGAAGCACAAAATACCACAACGGAGATCCCAGAGTGTTGAGCAAAGGAAGTTTCTGGTACACCTGTAAAATGATGTATACCAGATCTTAGGTAAACCTACAATCTCAGTTTAATGCGGTTTATTATAAGTGTATATTAACTAATGTTACTAGGCCTGTATACTCGAGGTATTGTGCTAGACTACATTATCAAATACCATCAATAGCATATAACACATCATAGCCCTTTGACGTTAATACCAATCTACTTTAAAATAAGCATTTTTATTCTATCAGTAGATAAACAGTAGATGAAAACAATATTTCTAAGATTTTCAAAGGGTAGAATTATCTGCTGGATGCAGCTCATAAAGTGTACCTAATAAATTGCAATTTCTTTTTTTATTATATTATTTTAGTTGCTTCAGGAAGGTGAACGCGCGCAAAGCTACTGGTCCGGACGGGATTCCCGGCCGCATCCTCAAGTCATGCGTGGCTCAGCTGGCTGGAGTGTTTACACACATCTTCAACCTTTCCTCTCTCTGTCTGTAGTCCCAGCCTGCTTCAAAATGGCCACCATCGTCCCAGCACCCAAATCCTCCACCATGTCCTCATTGAACGACTGGCGACCTGTAGCCCTGACCCCCATCATGAGCAAATGCTTCGAGAAGCTGGTCAGGGACTTCATTTGCTCTTCACTACCCGACTCACTGGACCCTCTACAATTTGCATACCGCCACAACAGGTCCACTGATGATGCCATAGCCCTGACACTACACACTGCCCTGTCACACCTGGAGAAGAGAGACACGTATGTGAGAATGCTGTTTGTAGATCACAGCTCAGCATTCAATACCATCGTTCCCTCGAAGCTGGATAGGAAACTGCAGGATCTAGGACTGAGCAGCTCCCTCTGCAGCTGGATCCTTAGCTTCCTGCCTGACAGACGCCAA